GTCCCTGCCAAAGCAGTTTATATTTTACTGTAAAGAGGTCCCCTTGGATGAAACACTGAATACAATTCTGGGTATTTGAGGCTCCAGACATCAAGAGAGAGTGCTATCATACTGCAGGGTTTCACATGTCAAATCAATCAGCAAGGAGATGGCCCATGGAAGCAGTTTATAATATTCCATTCCTGAAGAGAATGCAATATTTGAGTGTGACCTGTCTCACTTGAAAACAGAAAGTCGAATCTTTACCACCACCCTGAAATAATAATACTCAGCACCTGTGTAAAGTCTTCAGGGGTTTCTACATATAAAAAATTAGTTAATTAACAATTATTACTATATGCTAGGTAAACATGGACTATTATTATCATAATTTTACAGACCAAGTAAATGAGAGTACAGTAGAAGGTGCCAGAAGAAAAATTAAAATTAATGAGTTCCTAGATCACAGGCTTGAGCTGCAAAGACTTTAAAGAGCTTGTTTATGTTAAAGAACATACTGTAAAGTGATACTTAAACATTGGAAAAGCAGCTTTTCCAAATTAGTTATTAATGAAATTAGTGCTTATGTGTATTTGTATGTTTACATATATGTATGCATGTATATATATATATATTTTTAATAATTTTATAACTTCCCATGCATTTGTGATGATTGAATTGTCTTATTTTTGATAGAGGAATTCATGTAATCATAAGTTTTCCTCTTCAGATGTCATGGCTTGATTTTTTTCACCTTAGGAATAACCAAGTATCTCTGAGGTTTAAGAACCTAAAAAGTGTGTTAGGACCAGGAAATATATGGGTAAATTACAAAGCCAATCAACATGTTTATTGAGTGGTCAGTAGGAGCCAAACAACATCCCTGGTCCTGGGGATGCAACACTGACCAACATTACAGATATTTTTACACTTTAAAACTTTAAGTTCCAGTTCAGAAACTGTACCTTTCTTGTGATTTAGTTGAAAGAAGAGGGTGATGACCAGTGATGACTCCTGTAATAAGACTATAGTGGACATACATTTTTTGTCTTTCTGGCATCTCTTTGTGGGAAACACCTCATTCCCCTACCTTCATTTCCTGTGGTCTGGGTGAGAATGTTTCCACTCCCTGGCTCAGCAGTCGGCAGATAACCTGAGGCAGGGCAGGAGTCATGCCTTGAACACTCATAGGAACTATTACGAAAATAGTGCTCTTTGTGCTAGGGATGATAAGCTAGTGAGATGCAAATGTGGACTCCAGAAGCTGTATAACCGTGTGGGGAGAGTCTGCCTGAGAAGGAAGCTAACCCAGAGGAAAGCAGAGCAGATTCTTCATGTGTTCAGGAGAGCACCTGAATGCAGCCATGCCTGAAGTCACTTTACTTCCTGGACTTTTTAATGATGTGGCCTATTCTCTTCATTTTAAAAATTCCTATTCACTTTGAATTAGGCCTCAGAAACTTGCAGCCAAAAAGAGTCTGAATGCAATTTAATTCAGTAATCTTTAAACATGTAGCCTTTAGCATGAACAGGAAAATAAACCCTAGTTTAATACATATAATTTTGAAAAATAAAATAGCTTACGAATGTATATAGACAAATGGAGAATGACACTTGTGTATCTAATAGCCATCAACCCCTTCTTCCTTATTAACAGAACCTTATGACTATTTTTGCACTTTTAGAATAGCTTTGAGATGTAATTCACATGCCACAAAATTCACCCTTTTAAAGAGTACAATTCAGTGTTTTTTAGTATATTCACAGAGTTAGGTAACCATTGGCACAATTAATTTTAGAACATTTTCATCATGTGAAAATAGGAAACCCCTACCCATTAGCAGTCATTCCTCATTTCCCCCTTCCCCAAGCTTCTGGTAAGCCCTAATTTCTACCTCTACATATTTTATATAAATGGAATAATAAACATGTGGTCTCTCATTTGTTCTTTCACTTAGAATAATGTATTCAGTGTAAGTCCATATTGCAGTATGAATCAGTACTTCATTTCTTTTTATGGTGAATGGTATTCTACTGCATGGATATAGAACCTTTTGTTTATACATTCATCAGTTGGTGGATATGTGGATTGGTTCAACCTTTTGGTTTTTATGAATAATGCTGCTATGAACATTTGTGTGTGAGTTTTGGGGTGAACATGTGTTTTCAGTTCTCCCCATGAGAGGGACTCCTAGGTCATGTGGTCACTCAATATTTAACATTCTGAGGAACTGCCAAACTATTTTCCAAGGTGGCTGCCCCATTTCACAATCCCAACAGCAACATGTGGGGATTCCAATTTCTCTGCATCCTTGTCAACACTTGTTATTGTCTGTCTTTTTGACTTAGGTCGTCATAGTGGGTGCAAAGTGATGTCTTAGGGTAGAACCTATTAATATCCCAGGAAGCAATTTGCCTTTGTAAAGGAGTACATTTCATAAATTCTGTTGCTGTTGAGATGTAAGAGAAGGTAGTTGGGTGGAGCTTCCAGAAAAGCTCCTGAAGGAAGGGGCAGGTCAACCTGATTAAGTTAAGCTACTTCCCCTAGGTTAATCAGGTTGGCCTGCCCCTTCTTCCTCCATTTTTCTGCCTGGAATGGTTGGCTGGGCAGCAGCTATCTCGCTCCATGAAATGAGCATAGAGATCAGGCCCTACAGATAATGGAGCAGAAAGAGAAAAGAATCCTGAGTCCTTGATGACCTGGAAGCCACTATACCAGCCTCAGCCTGTTAACTATGGCTCATATTTTTTTACTTGAGAGAGAAATTAATTTCTAACTAGTTTATTCCATGGTTATTTGGATGTTCTGTTATGCTCAGCTAAACAATTTTTTTGTTCCACCAGCATATATGTATGCATGTACATGTATGTTTATACGTAGGTATGTATGTGAACATTTATATGTATATATACACGTGTATATTCTGTACAAAACCTACCAATTCACAACCAGATAGTGATCTACTTATTCATATGGGAGTTGGCTGTTCATAATTCTGAATTGATTTTGTTATGGGAACAACGTTCTAAATGTTGACAGGTACTCCAACTAGGCCACAGAGGCCTATTTAACTCATACTGTGATACGTATACCTCATGCTGGTAGTACCAACCCACACTTAAGATCTGAGCAGCAGGAACTTACATGGAGCAAGAAGAGGGAACAGTTATTTGTTCAATATTTATTATGTTTCTACTAAGTGTTAAACATGGGGGACAGAATGTGAACTTGATTGCCCTACTCTATAATAGAGTGTAATATGTGACATGGAAACTAGACATTGATCAAGCTGTGCTCCTCTGCTGCCCAAAATACTTCAGTGCCATCCAGCACTAGAATCAATTCAGTTTCCTTCCTCCACAGGTCCTGCAGGTCCATGTCCATTTGGTTCTTGCCTACACTTCTACCCTTGTTTGATTCTTCTCTGCTCGGCTTACTCTGCTCCAAGTTCTAGGTACACTCTGTCTAATTCAAATAGACCATGTACTTGCTTCGAACCTCAGCACTTTCTCTTGTTCTGTCTGGAATGTTCTTCTCCCAGCTATTCCTGGCTCATTCTCATCCTTCAAGCGACAACTCACACTTCCCCTCCCCAGACAGCCCTATTTCAAATGGGCCCCTTTGATTTTTCTCCAGCACGTGAGCTTCTTTTATGGTGTTTACAGCAGTGATTCTCAAACTTTAAGTGCACACAAATCACTTGGTGATCTTGCTAAAAGGCAGATTCTGATTTGTAGGTCCAAGGTGCGGCCTGAGATTCTGCACTTTCAACATGTTTCCAGGTTACGCCCATGTTTCTGGTCCCCAGACCATACTTTGAGCAGCATTGTATTAAGGAACTTATCATATTCCATAGTCATCTCATTTATTATTCATTTATTGATATCTGCTGCTCCTTACCCTGAAATGAAGGATTAAGAGGGATAGGACACTGCTTCTTATTATTATTATTTTGCTAGCCTCTGTAGCCCCAGTGTAAGAACAGCCTCTTCTTTGCATATAATAGCTACTAAATAATTATTAGATAAATTAAGACATTTCAAGTGTGATTAATGTTATACAAGGGTATGTGCATAGGGCTGTGGAAGCTAATCCCATCTGGAGAATTGGGAAAGGAGAGCCAGACTTTTGCAGACCAGACTTTTGCTCAAATTAGTAAGAAGCATTTTCACAATTCTCGTTCTTCTGTCCAGCATCCCTACTGTGATAACTCATCCTGACTTACCAAAGTCTTCAAAAGTCTCCAGAATAGAGAATTACTTTCTCTTCTCCCTACCTTTCAACCCAAGGCCAAACGAATGTGTCAGGCCCCAGGATGGCTGACCTTGGCTGTGTTAACAGGCAAGCAGTCTGACCGAAATGTCTCACACTTGTTTTTGTGGATGACTGCTGCACCTTATTACACTCTGGTGGTACTTTCATTTGGTAAAAGCAGATCCTTATCTAATTGTATAGTGCTATTTTAGCTAGCAGAATACAAATATTTAAGCTTCGGGAAGACATTAAAAAAAAAATGTAAAAACCCTTGAGTTTTTGTTTTTTCTAGTCCTAAAGCCACAAATTATCCAGACCCTAGGAGCAGCTGAGGATTGACACCCAGAAAACATGGCGGGGTGGAGTGATTATCCATATCATTTGTAAGGGAGTGCCTCCTGAGCTGGAGCTTATGGAGGAGGATGCATAATGCTCATGGTGATTAAGAGTGAGGGTTCTGAAATTCTCCTGTTGATATCTCTGACTGGAGGGATATCTTATGTAACCTTATAAGGTACCTATACCTACTTAGATATCTTATGTAACCCCTATAAACCTCATTTTCTCCATCTGTAAAACAGGGTGGACAACATATCTACCTCTCTATGTGCTGTGAGGACTAATGAGACAACGAAGGTCAAGTGCTGAGCACAGTGCTTGATACCTAGTAAGAGTTCCAACAAAGTGGTAGATATTATGATCATCTTCTGATTAAACATTCTGATGGAAAGAACACTAAAAACAGTTTAAAATCAGAATGGGATCGTGGTGAATATAGAAATAGTATTTTTATTAGGCTTGGGGCCACATTTTGGTTACTAAGTGCAGAATCAGATGATAAAAGGAAGGGGTAAGAGCAAAAAGTAGTGGAAGCCCCAAAAATCATTTGCAAAGTGACCAATCCAGCTGTCCACAAGGAATTCATCCGTATGTAAACACTCAGATGCTTCTGGGACGGTTGAGTAAGTATCTAATCCATGTCAGAAAAATCAGCTACTTTTCTCAGGAGGTCTGCCACGCCGAACATTCATCTTCCTACAGTTTTCACTCATGTTTATTGGTATGGTGCCTTGAGTTTCCAATTTATAATAACATCCCTTTCTCACTGTGCTGCATTCACCAGGTGGTTCCACAGCCAGCAGAAAATGTGGGCTGACAGCATTGCCTGACTTCAGTAATGAGCATAAAGCTTTCTTAAAACTGTGGTTCTCAATCTGGCACTGGCCATGTCTGGTTGTCACAACAAGGGGTTGTTACTATGTCTAGTGGATAGTGGCCAGAGATGCTCCTAAATATCCTGCAATGCAGACGATAACCTCCCCCCCAACCCCTCACCACAACAAATAATTATTTGAATGAAAATGTCGGTAGTACCAAGGTTTAGAAACTCTGCCCTGAATTCCTTTTTCCTAATAGTTTTGGCTCTCATTTCTCCTGTGAAGTTCGGTGACTGAAATCATATGCATGGTCTTGCCAGATCTGACACTGTAGAATTTTTTTTTTCTAACCTCCAAGAATTTTGATACTAAAATTAACCAATGAGGAGTGGCACAGACTTTCCTTTTGCCTAAAGAGGCCAATCCACAGTAGGCTATGGCTTCTCCGCAGCCTCAGCTGTAGCATTTCAGCAACAACCTCTCAATCTGCCATCTGGGAGACCACCTGAGGGGTGGTAGAACATCTCCAAAAAGAAGTGTACACCCCAAGTAAGCACTAATTTACATTTATGGTGTAGGACAGAACTTCCCTGTTTCTCAAAACCAGTTTGGTTTGAAGATTATCACCCTGTTGACACTAGCTCATCCTGTGAAACTGACAAGCCCACACACCTTTGGTGAAAGAATTTGTTTCCTACCCATTATCTGAGAGCCCATGAGTAGCTTAATGAATATACTGATGGAGGATTCCCTGGCACAAGCTTATCTGAACAAAGGCCAATAATATTCCACCCCATGCAGAATCCTATCAAAGCAATGCATTAATTGATTAAAGCAATTAAAAGTCTCCACCACAAATAGGCAACAAATGCCACCAACACTGATTAAAGAATACTGTCCAGTGACCTCAACCATGCATTGAAAAATCTAGTGAGTGACAACTTTTTAAAGGTCAGTTCGAAACAAGTAATCCTTATGAACATCAAGGCAATTCTTTCACTCTGATGAAGCAGTTAAATAGTGAAGGTCATGGGGCTTTAGCAGCCACATAAAAGAAAGAAGGAAAGCAATTAGACAAAATGGATGTTGTAATCCCACTTTCCAGGCCCCAGAGTCTTGCTGAATACAGAGCTCCCGCTTCACTGTTCAGAACTCTCCCGCTTCACTGTTCAGAAACTGGCAGCAGATTCCAAATGAGAATTCCATAGCTTGATTCCACTCTCACCAATGCTGACTGCGTGTTTCTTAGGAATGTCTATAGCCTTGAGAGGTAAAAAAATAAAATCCATGGATGATGCTATGAACTTTCCACCCATTTGGAATTCCAAAAATATTCCTCCAATGCTCAGGAGTGTTGCTGAATGCTACCCAGCAAGGTTTGCTGTACTGCTTGAAAAGCTACACCAAAGCAGGGAATAAACGTCCAGATCTATGGATCGCCAGGGTTTTCCAATCAAGTGGGAATCCAAGGACCAGCAGGGACTAGCAGTATTGGCATCACTTGGAAGTGCTTTCAGTGTGGAGATTCTCAGACCCCGCCCCAGACCCCCTGTATCAGAACCGCAACCACATTAAAATGTGAGAAACACTCATCTACAGGACCCTACAGGGCAAGTTTGGTTTTTGTCGTCTTTTTTTCCTTCTTCCAGCCAGAGTTGGAGACTCAGGAAATGACACGGAAAATGACAAAGTGTACACACAAAGTCAAAACTGAAGGAGGGCAGTTGTTGACATGATCATGGGAGTGATCGAGTCTTCTCCCAGTTCTAACTTCTGCAGTCAGCATCGCTTCTTTTGTAATCGCGGGAAAATAATTTTCAAATGGAGCTAACCCTCTCACAACATTGTACTAATGATCTTTAAAGCGACGGATTTAGAAGCGCTCAGCACCGGGCTTGCCACACTGCAGGGCAGACACTTCAGAGGTGTTAGGTGAAGTGAATGGAGCCAGCACGCTAGCCTCTCCCACTCCGACAGCTGGCGAGCAGCTCTTATCCACCAAAATTTCCCCGGGTAGATTCACCCAGCTGTCCTGGAAACCTGCTAAATCCTGGAGGTTCGCAGAACCTCTGGTCGGAACTGAAGTTGCAGCCGGAGCGTCCCGCAGGCTCTGTAACTTTCCCTGGAATGAAATAAATAAAGACCGTAAGTGCTGAGATAGCGGGCCCCAAGATATTTTTAGTCCTCTGCAATCAGCCACTAGAGGAAGAGGGAGGGAGAAGTGAGTAAAAAAGTTTTGATCCGTTCAGGAAGGGGCTCCAAGAGAACTCGTCTGGGAGAAAGCAGTAGCCTCAGCTCCAAACTCAGCGAGCTTTTTTTCGGCTAGCGTTTTGCCTCCTATAGCTTAGACTGTAAGAGAACAGAAAGGAGTTGCCCGAAAGGATTCAGGCTGGCGTCCTGGGCTGGCCCGTCCCGTCTGGCGAGCCTCAGTGTCCACCCACGCGCTTCTGCCTTCCAGCCTCCTCCCTTTTTCAGGGGGCTGGCAGGCCTCCGAGGCAAGATGTTTGTGCGCTCGCGCTCGCGCAAATACGGCCGGAGGAGTCCTGTTCCTCGGGCATTTTCCGAGGAAGTCTGGATCAATTAGGCTCAGTCCGGGGAGAGCGAGCGAGCGGGCGGGCGGCGCAGCCGGCCTGTCTGGGCCGCCTCGTGGGGAGGGAGGGGGCGCCCGGCCGCCCGGCGGCGACCCCGGGGTCTGGCCGCCACCATGGGCTTCGAGCTGGACCGCTTCGACGGCGACGTGGACCCGGACTTGAAGTGCGCGCTGTGCCACAAGGTCCTGGAGGACCCGCTGACCACGCCGTGCGGCCACGTCTTCTGCGCCGGCTGCGTGCTGCCCTGGGTGGTGCAGGAGGGCAGCTGCCCGGCGCACTGCCGCGGTCGCCTGTCGGCCAAAGAGCTCAACCACGTCCTACCGCTCAAGCGCCTTATCCTCAAGCTGGACATCAAGTGCGCCTACGCGGCGCGCGGCTGCGGCCGGGTGGTCAAGCTGCAGCAGCTGCCGGAGCACCTCGAGCGCTGCGACTTCGCGCCCGCGCGCTGTCGCCACGCGGGCTGCGGCCAGGTGCTGCTGCGGCGCGACGTGGAGGCGCACATGCGCGACGCGTGCGACGCGCGGCCCGTGGGCCGCTGCCAGGAGGGCTGCGGGCTGCCCTTGACGCACGGCGAGCAGCGCGCGGGCGGCCACTGCTGCGCGCGAGCGCTGCGGGCGCACAACGGCGCGCTGCAGGCCCGCTTGGGCGCTCTGCACAAGGCGCTCAAGAAGGAGGCGCTGCGCGCTGGGAAGCGCGAGAAGTCGCTGGTGGCCCAGCTGGCCGCGGCGCAGCTCGAGCTGCAGATGACCGCGCTGCGCTACCAGAAGAAATTCACCGAATACAGCGCGCGCCTCGACTCGCTCAGCCGCTGCGTGGCCGCGCCGCCCGGCGGCAAGGTAGGCGCCTGCTACCCGCTCTGACCTCCAGCCAGGCTCCCTGGGGTCCCTGGGGACCCTGGGCCCCGCCCCATCCCTTTGGGTACAGGGATGCCCCGAGCTTCCCCGGAACATCCCTGCTTCCTCCCTCTTCTTCCACTGCTTACCAGCTGTGTCACTACGTGCAGGTCGCTGAACCTGCCCGAGGTGGAACACTGTGGTCCCTATAGTCTAGACGTAACCGGTAAAGTATAGCTGCAGAGCTTCAGGGGTTCTGGAAGGACGAAAAAGAATCCACAAGCAAGTGTAGGATAAGAATGAAGAATGCAGCTCCAGAGTCAAAACTGCGTTCAAAGGCTTTGCTGCTCAGACCAGCTGGGGGATCTTGGGCAAGTTGCTTACCCTCTCGAGGTCAGAAACCTATAGACTGACACTCAGGAGAGGAAAGATGGGCACACTGCGTGAATTGTATCCGTGCATCCTCTAGGATTCCAGAAAAAAATAAAGGGAACCCACAGCCATGTAGAGTAAGTTAAGAAGGATACCAGAAGAGAGGCCGCTGGGGTAAAAGCTGGATGCAAGCGTGGGCTTTGCAGCCAGCTAGCTGGCTGACCTTGAGCAAGCTGCTTAACCTCTCTAAAGTTGGAAACTATGGCCCCTAGAGACGTGGTATACAGAGTAAAAACACAGCCAGGCACCCCTGAGGTATTCATCCAGGGATTTCAGAAAGAATTAAAGGACCACTCTGCCCCCAGCAAGTATAAAGTAAAATTAAGTGTAAGTTATCTGGAGTTAAAACTGTTTTCAAATCTGGGCTTTTTGCTGACCAGCTGGGTGAACTGACTTCATTCCCAGGTCCCTCAGTTTCCCTCAGTGTGAAAGGTTTTTGTCAGGCTTCAGAGAGAGATTTTAGTGGAAGGGCCTGGTACTGTGCCTGGCAGAGAGTAAATAAATGCTCAACAAGTGTTACCTACAATTAATTTTAACATCTCCACCTGAGCGGTCCCCTTGAGCGAGGGTTTACTTTGCTCCAGGCTGGGTGCTGCATTCTTCCCAGTCATTTCCTTTTTAATCAAGTGAGGTAGGTGTGACCCTTCCCATTTAGTAGATGAAAAAAAAACTGAGGCTCATTAAGGTGCAGTTTCATGCCTGGGCCACAGCTTTTGGGTGCAAAGCTGCATGTTGAACCTTTGTGTGCCCATCTTTCCAGCCCACGTTCTTAACCACTATCATGTCACCCCTCAGTGCAACCACAAGTACCATTTATTGAGTGTTTATTAAGTGCTGTCAACAATAGGAAGCACTTTACGTGCATTACCTATGTTGTCCTTTGAGATGAGGGAACAGACTCAGAGAAGTTATAGAACTTGTCCAAAATTAAATAGTGACTGCGGGAGCAGAGCTGGACTCGGATTCTACCTCAGAGTCCTCAGTTTTGGGGCATATTGGCATTTTGGACTCCATAACTCTTAGTCGGGGGTGCGGGGTACTGTGCTGTACATTGTAGGATGTTTAGCAGCATGCTTGGCCTCCCTCCCAAGTCGTGACAATCCAAATATTGTCAGGTGTCCTTTGGAGGGGCAAAGTCTCGCCCTGGTTGAGAACCACTGGTTTCCGTGATTGCAAAAGCCACATTTTCAACAGCTGGGTGCTTCTGCCTTCCTGGGGAGGGCCCTGGGCCTGCTGCCACTGCTCTGGTTGCCTGCTCCAGATGGCGTGGCAGAAAGGGGAAAATATTTGCCCGAGGCTCCCCCAGGGGCCTGTGTCTGCTTTGCCTCCCCCTGCCCTCTCCCAGCCCCCCTTCCATACGTGCACACCAGGCCTGCAAGTTTTCGACCTGGCCCCCCTTCCTGGCCCTTGGCCTGTCTGTCAGCTGCAGTCTCAGCAGCTGGCCAGCTCTGGGCGAAGGGCAAATATTTACAGCTCCACAGCTCACCCAGGACCTCACAGGCACACAAAAGACTGGTGTGAGCCTCGGATTCACCGAAACAGAGGGCAAAGCTTGGTTTTCAATCAGGCGCCAGATTTAGGGTGAAGGAGTTCCCGAGTTTCTGCTGTTTATGCTGTCATCTGGACTTCCTTTGTCGTTTTAAGTGACACTTATTTATAAATAAGCCATTCACTGCCCCAGAGTTTATGCATCATTTATTGTTGAGCTAGTTTATTATTTCTTCTTAACTTTCTGTTTTCTTTCTGGAGTGTTTGGGTAAAATCTCTCTTAGAGTCAAAAATATGATACTTGAATCAAAACTGTGGCTGTTTTTGAGGCTCTGTTGGGTTAGTGGGTAGCATAAAGAAGGATGTTAAGCTTAGGGACAAGATGTTGATTTTAAACTTACGAAGAAAGATTTGTTCTGGGATTGGAGCTCTGCTTGGAACTTTGACGAACCTCAGTGCCAGCCTTGAGAACAGCAAAGGATGGTCTGGCCCAGAAGCTGCCTTAGATGGTTTCCCTGGCCTCAGACCCGGGGTGGCCTCAGCTGAGGCCTTAGGGAAGCTCGCTGTCTCTCCTTGCCCTGAAATTAACCCTCAGTGGCCCTTGCTGAAGGCTTTTGCTGTTCCTGCATCAACCATAAAACTCCTCCCACTGGAAGCTGTTTAAGAACTTGTTTATTTCATTGGGCCGGCTCTCTGCTCCTGCCAGAGTACTGTTTATTCTCTTCTAAAAGGCAGAAGGTTTTATATGTCCTGGAAACTCTCATGTGCAACATTTTTTTTTTTTAAATAAGCCCTAATGTTTGCATCTCTGTTATAAGCTGCAGGAGATTGGAAACCCTCAGATTTTCAGTACCAGCTCTTCAGCAGTCTAGCACTTGCATAAATGATGCGGCATTCTTTAAATTATCTTAGGTTTCAGTTTTTTTGACGCCTGCTGAGCAGTTAGGGTTAGTGCTGTACCAGCATAGACGTTGTTTCTTCTATTCTACCATGTGAGCTATATTAAGGATTCTCAAGCCTTAGCATGATTGGAGTCACTGCAGAGCTTAACACAGATTCCTGAGTCTCACCCCTAGAGATTCTGATCCATTAGGGCTGGCCAGGGGCCTGATATTCTGCATTTCCAATGAGCTCCCAGATGATGCTTGTCCTTTTTGCTAAGCTAAAGGAGGAGCTTACGCTCAAGTAGATAGAGACCAAACATGTATTGGTCTTCACACAGTTATGGTTTTACTGACCATTGTCTGAACACCTTCGTAAATTTCTTAAGACCAGGATAAAATTTTAAAACCCAGACTGCCTACCAGTTAAATGACAAATAATCATAGCCTAGACAGGCATCTCTGATCTCACTGAGGCCACATCTGCGCTGCAGCAGACTTGGGATTGCTACACTTGAGTAAGTTAAAGAGTTCTGCTCCCAGCCTCAGTTTCCCACCCTGACTTACCCCTCTGATTCTTAGAGCAGAAGCACTCCAGAGCAAACATCTTTTTTGCTTTTCTTTCTGGGAAAGGAAAAATTCTGAACATAACTTTCCTTGGATTGACTGAAAAACTTGAGATACATCCTCGGTGCCTTTTGCTCTTTAAGCTCCCATCCAGTCTGGCTGAATCCTGCGGATTTTACCTCCTAAATACATTTTGAATCTATTCCCAGCTCTCCAGCTCACTCTAATGACCACCTTGGTCCAAATCAGAGTTTCTGAATCAGCACTCCCAACATTTTGGAGTGGATAATTCTTGGGTGTGGGTGTGTTGGTGATGGGGGTGGGAGGCTGAACTGTGCATTGTAGGATGTTTAGCAACATCCCTGGCATCTGCCTACCTACCTACTAGAGGGTAGTAGCACTTTCTAAGTGGTATCAACAATATTTCTGGATGATGCCAGATGTCCCTTGGGGGGCAAAATTGGCCTTTGTCTCAAACATTCTCCCTTGCCTGGACCATAACTCTTTCCTCAACAAATCTTCTTGCTCCTCTTCAATTCCTTCTTTACCTAGCATCAGTAATTAATCTCTTAGAAATGTAAATCTTTTCTCACTCTCCCTCAAGCCTCCTGTGCCATCCCATTTCTCTTGGGTGGCTACAAGGTCCAACATACTCTGGATCCTGCTGGCCTCCACCTGCCTGGATTCTTCTCCCCTTCATCCTCCTCTTCCAGCTTCTCATGTCTTTTCGAGAGTCCATGCATGTGCACCTGAGCTCCTTTCTGCCTCCGGGCCTTTGCACTTGCCCGTCTGTCTACCTGGAACAATCTTACCAAGTACTCTGCACTAAGTAACTGCAAAATTTCCACCTCTCCCCTCCTGCCCACAGCCTTTCTGTCTGCACTTAGGATTTGCCTATCACTAGACAATCGTTTTTTCTATTCTCATCTCAGCTCAAGTATCACTACCTCGAGGAAGCCAGGCCTGTCGACCTCACAGATTACATCTGGTGCCCTGAGACTCTTACTTTGGTAACCCTCCTGCATGGCATTTATCCTAGCCATAAGGAAATAAGTGGAAGAGTCTGACTTGTCCAGGGCCATGTCTGTGGCACTAATCCATTGCCATGTGCACTGTAAGCTCCTGGTATGTATTCATTTGGTGATGAGTTCAAGATTGAAAGGCCTGTCTTGGCAGTCATCAAAACTTTTCAGGTTGCTAACCAAAAGTGGGCTCGTGTTTAAAAAGAATGAGTTTCTCCGTGACGCCCCAGTTAACAAAATTGTTTCCAGCTTTAGAGGAGGCATTATTTTTGTTCCACTAGATCCATCCAGATCAAGTTTTATAAAGTCCCAAATCCCAGAAACTATTTTGTCCTTTTCAGAACTGGAAATAAGTAAATCTAGTAGACAATTGTATCAAAAGGTGTTCCAGATGTCCAAACACTTTGAAATGTATCTATTTAGAGTATTCACCATGAAGTATATTTTCTTTCTGAAATCTCCTGCATAGAGCCATTCCATAGTGTATCTAACAAAACAGCCCACTTCTGCTAAAAAGATTATAGATTATCACTTCTATTTCATTTCTGTGATTCATAAGGAAAATTAGGATTTGGTTTACAAATATGTTACCCAGCTACACTGGATTAAATGAGCATAACCAGACAATTTGAATTGGCAATTCTGTTGAGATTTATCTGTAAGTGGCTCTTTCTCTGTTCAGAAATGGTGCTTGCCTCGCTATAAACATATTTGATGAGTAAGAATCTATTTATAAGGCAATTATGCATTGGACTGTAGACCAAGGAGCTTAAAAGGAAAAGAAATAATATTCATTGAGTTCCACCAGGTGCCATACACTTAAGGTGCTTTCTATATGGCCATACGTTATCTTCTCCATGTTCTTCATTAGATAGACCTCTTTTTTTTAATGGGAGTGGCAGATTCTGAAAGATTAAGGCTAGAAGTTAGATTCTAAATGTAGAGCTGGGATTTGAACCCAGTGTTGCCTATCTCTGAGCTCACACTGTCACCAAAATAAGAATTTTTTTCCTGGGGCGGTGTCCTTCTCTGAAGTCTCACACAGGCTTTCAAAGCACCATTATTATATATGCCAAGTACTGTTTGGATTGAAGGTGTACATGCATTATTTTATTTCATCCTCAGACCCTGCAAGGTAAGTGCTCTTACCTATGACTTTTTCCTTCCATTTTACAGATGAAAAAACAGG